TACATAGAGGAGGTAAACACTCAAGAACCGCAAACACAGTCGGGCGACGATTTTCCCGTGCCCTTTTGTGGACTATCGTGGACTCTTGTCGGAGAAAGATCTTCAGATTTTCCCTCCAAAATCCGCCTGCAGAAGGAGTCGACGAACAAAAAAACATAAGCATAAATGTTTGGCGTTCCGCGCGGATTTCTTAGATCTGCGCCGAGTCCCCCTCCCTGGCGCGCGGAGCGCGCCGGGGGCGGCGCCAAGGGCGCCGCCAGGGGGGTCCCAGCGCGGATCCAAGAGATCCGCTCGGAGCGCCAAAAGTGTATGTTTATGGCATTGCTTCTTTTTCGACTCCTCCTGCAGGTAGATTTGTTGGAAGGAGAATATGAAGATCATTCTCCAACAAGGGTCCAAAATAATCCACGAAGGGCACGGAAAAATCGTAGCCCGACTATGTGATACTATTCGTTCCTGTTTCTCCGCGGTGGACAAATCTCCCTGTAATAAACCACCGTTCCGCAAAAATGACGGCCGCGAGGCCCTCTCGCGAACCGAAAACGGCCAATTCGCTAATCGACGAGTCAGGGTAGGAGGTCTTATCAACCTCCGATTGTCCTCCTCTACAGAGTGGCATGCCCGACCTAATCCTCCTGCCGGCGTCTTGGCCAAGAAGGCTCTGAAAAGCGAGGCAACCCTGCCATCCCAAGAACCGCCATCATCGAATCGGGGAATCGCGCCTGATCGGAACGCGTATTGAATCGGACCACACCGACCACGGAGTAGAAACCGAATCGCATCGGCGGCGCCGTGCTGCAGAACAGCGCCATGCCAAACATCAGGCCGCAGCCGATCGCCCGAGAATTGGAGCCGAATCGAATCGGGCTGGCCAGGGCCGATATCGGATCGGATCGATCGGATCGAACCCCACCTTGAGCAGGGACCGACCGTCCCGGCATTCCTCTAGGCCTACCACAACATATTCTTAGAACCCAGAAATGTTCTGAAAAAGCAAAAAGTTCTTGGAGCATAATCCCGATGCGCCAAAACAGGACGGTCCCAACCAGAAATCTGCTAAAAACGTTTCGTGGGAACCACAAACGGTTCTTGAAACATTCCTTGGTCGGCCTGTAGGCGAGCCGGGACGTGTCGCCACTGCTTGAAAGAAGGTGCGCGACCGTCGCAGACCCCCGGGCGCCTACAGACGACACTTCGCTGATTGTCTGCCTCCCTGGCCTTCGGTCGGGCATGTCCCCCTTCAGGCGGACCCTGGGCGAAAGATTAAGCATAGTCCAGAAACCTTTCAAAATAATCAAGGCATGCCCCAACAGATCGTCCCCAGACTATTCTCTGACTATTCTTGAATATTCGGCGATGCGCAATGAGTGACCCTGGGTAAGACTGACCTTTGGTGCGCGGCTTTCTGGGGGCCGCGGGGGGGGGGGGGGGAAGGGGGCCAAATCTGGGCGCGCAAGCGGCTGCCACTGTTTCGTCTCCAACCATTTGGGACCCATCTGCGCGGAGGAGGAGGAGGAGGCGGAGGAGGAGGAGGAGGAGGACGAGGAGGAGGAGGCCCGCACCAAAGGTCACTCCTGCGAAAGATCACTCTGGCGTCTAGTCGAAAGATCCCCCCCCCCCGCGGGTGACGGGTGGCCTTCCCCGCCGCCCGCCCGGCCCCGCTGCACGGCGGGCAGACCCCGAGGCACGCACGCCGCGCGGGGCCTCGGCGCCGCCCTGCGCACACGGAACCGCCCCGCGCAGCCGGGGTGCCACAGTCGGCCTCGACTGGAAAGGACACGCGAGAGGACACACAAGAGCCTTCCGAGGGTTCTGTCGGGCGTGTCCCCCATACAGAGGGATTTTCGACAAAACATAAAAAAATACACCAACGCATCCCCCAAAGGAAACAAACACACCCCAAAAATAATCCCCAGCGCGGCTCCAAGAAGTCCGCGCGGAGCGCCAGAAGCTTATGCTTACGGCGTTTTGCTCTCCTTCGAATGCCCACGCTTTCCGTGCCCAGTTCGATCGCCCCGAGGCGTGCGCGCGACTCCGCCTCGTGCAGCCCTCCCCCCGGCGGCGAGGCGAGATCCTGCCGCGCGCCGCGGGCCTCCGCGCGGCGGCCGCGGGCGGCCGCCGCATCCACGCGGCGCGGGGAGTGCCGCGCGCGCGCAGGCAGGGCGCGGGGGCCTCGTCTCGTCGGCGGCGGCGGCAAAACTTCCCCCTTTTCCACCCCTCTTCCTGATCAAGAACTCCCCCTGGGTAGGGGGAGGGGAGTGAGAAGAGGGAGAAGACGAGGGAAGGAGGAGGAGGGACGAGGGACGAGGGAATCCCTCTTCTCCCCCCTGTCGGCTGCACGTAGAAGAGTGGCCCTGGGTAGGAGTGACCTTTGGTGAGCGACTCTTTGGGGGCCGCGGGGGGACCAAACCTGGGCCTGCAAGCGGCTGCTGCTGCTTCGCTTTCAGCCATCTGGGGACCCATCTGTGCCCGCACCAAAGGTCACTCCGGCGGAAGGTCACTCTCACGTCTAATCGATCCCTGTCGCACCTCGGAACGGGTCGGTGGGCCGGCCGGGCGTTTCGCCTGAGACTTCCTCGCCATGCATGGTCCAGGAGCTTCGAGTCTGCAAAAGCAGAATCTTTCGAGAGTCCGCGCGGATGTTGTTGGCAAGATTGCTACACAGATCCACTGCGTCTTGGAGTTGCGGGCTCCCTGCCTCCGATACCGAGACGCCGAGGATGAAGTTAAAACAATGTCGCCCCTAGAGGTCTGATTCTTATCCATATCCACTGCGCCGCGGCCTGCTGGCGCCCCTTCCCAGAAAGTCCTAGACGCAATGGATATGGATATAAATCGTGTCCGCAAATTTCTCGGATCGGCAAAGGCATACAATGGAGATCCTACCACAAAATACTTGCCGCAAGAAACCCAACCCTGGGACCCCAGGACGTCCATTGGTTTTTGCCGTGGAAAAGTCGCGCTGTCCATCGCAAGACCATCGAGACCCAAGAAGCCCAGGGCACTCTGGAGGCAAGCAGGGTGTTTCTTGGCATGGGCCTCCACTGTGAACTTTCGAAAGTCCACGCGGAGGAGCTCCCTAGCGGCGCCTCCGGCGCCCAGCCCCGGCCCCGACCCGAGAAACCCCTGCGGACCTCCAAGAGTTCGTCTTAGTGCCGATAGTTGTTCCTCGGTTGTCCCTGCCGCCATCGTCGTCGGCAGCAGCAGCGTCGGCGCCCTCCTCCTGGCTTCTCCTCCTCAGCCTGCCTCCTGCATCCTGCCGCCTGCCTCCTGCCTCCGCATCCTCCTCAACCTCTAAAAGGAGAGCGCTCCTGATCTCTGTGATATGAGCCCATTGGCCCAGAGTGGCTCCACGACGGCCTCAAGAGCGTCAAAAGAGGGCTGAATCAGGCGAACTGTCCGCCTCTTACGGGGAAGAAAACTAATGAAGAACTCCCCCTGTGAAGGATGTCCTCCAAGATGGCCCTCAAGGTCCTCCGGACGTTCCCGAAATTGCCCGATGGCTTCAAGAGAGCCTAATCCCACCAGCCCTCTGGGAGTAAGTGATCTGGAGAGCTCTTTCTTCCAACCCCCTTCTTCCTCGTCGGGGAAGGCTTTATCACTGTCCCCTATGAATATGCATCCATTCCCCCAGGCGACCGGCAGCCAACCAGCAACCATGAGGACACCAGGAGGGCACTACAAAACACACTCTGCCTCCACATCTGGAGCAGGCGCGGCCAACCCGATGCGGCCTCCCCCAACCCCGTCAAAAAACAGCACAAGGTACACTTAGGGGCAAAATCTGGCGTCCGTCCGTTGGATCCGCGAGAACGCTGCATTGTTTAGTTGACTGGGCCGGCGGGGCTGCCAGCATACTGCCTGCTGCGCGCAGGGCTACCATCCCAGACACAAAACAATGCAACATGCACCTCGCGGCCAAATTTCGGTCGGGCATGTCCTCCGACATGTGGATTTTGGAAGGAAAAATCAAAATAGTCCAAACCCATACCAAAATAGTTCCAGAATGATCGTCCCTAGATAAGGTGTGACAATTTTAAAATATTCCTCCTGTAGAGAGACATACCCGGCTTAAGGCTCAAATTGCGGCACCCCTGGCGCACGCGGAGCACGTGGCGCATCTGGCGCACCAGGCGTGCCTGGCACGCTCGGGCCCCAGGAGTGCCTGGCGCGCGTGGCGCGCCTGGCACGCGTGGCGCACCTCGCCCAAACGTCGCGCACATGGGGCCCGAGTTGGTTCCCAATAGCTGTCCATCCAAAAACGAGCGCTGAACATGCACAGGCTCGGATGTCACTTGTGTTGGGAGGGCGGATGGGAGTGAGCTAGACGGCTGCTATCCAGGGGGTGTCTTGACCCCTTCCCCTACCCCCTCCCCTGGACAAATCCCCCTCCCCCTGCCATGAGTGACGTCGATCGACAAAACCCAAATCGGTCTGGTGGCTGGTGGCTGGGCTGCTCAGGTTGAACTCTTCGATTAACTAACTGCTGTCAGTCATACTGTCCCTCCTCCTCCTCCTCGTCGACGCCGACCCTCAGATCCGAAATTGCGGAAAAAACAACCTCGCAAACAAACGTCACGGAACACCAAACCCAACCTCTTTCTGCTGCACTCTCTCCGAACCGGCTGAGATCCCGTGACGGCCCTGGGGCACGCGACTGGGTGAAGGGGCCTGGGCTCGCAAAACAGTGCCGCGCCCCGATCTCAGGGGACGCCGTCCTCGTCGCTCGCCATCGCTCGGACGTCCACTCCCTTCCCTCCTCGTCCTCGTCCTCGTCGTCCTCCTCCTCCTCCTCCTCCTCCTCCTCCTCCTCCTCCTCCTCCTCCTCAGGGGGACGCTTTTGTTGGCCCGATGGTCCAGGATGCTCCTCGATGGCCCTCGCCGAGTAAAAATGCACACGTCCGAGCGGTGCCATGCCAAGCGTCGCCGCCCTCGCCGCCGCCCCCCTGCGTTCGCGCGCGCGGGGAGGGCGCCGCTGCGGGCGGGGGTGCGGGCCGAGCCTGCACGAAGGACGGCGGCGGCCCTCTTGCAGGCTCCTGGCGGTGGCCGCGGCCGCCGCCAGCCGGGCCCGGCGCCGTCCCGCCATTCTGCTGCTGCTGCAGCTGCTGCTGCTGCTGCTGCTGCTGCCCCTGCTGCGGCTCCTGCTGCGGCTCCTGCTGCTGCTCCCTCCCCTCCCCCAGCTTTCCTCCGCCTCCTCCACCCCTCTTCCTTCTACTGCTCCTCCTCCTGCTCCTCCTCCTGCTCCTCCTCCTGATCCTCCTCCTGATCCTCCTCCTCTGCGAAGGGGGCAGGAGGAGGCGTGCGGAGCCTGAAGGAGCCCGTCG